CCAGCCCACATCCAGCCCTTTTTATTTTGAGACAGAGTCATCACTAAATTATTGAGGTTGGCCTCAAACTTGCCATCCTCCTGCCTCAATGTTAAGAGTAGCTGGGATTACAGGCATGTGTCACTGTGCCTGGCTTATGTGCTGATGTTTAATTATAGTGTCCACAGGCTTGTAAATTTCTTCTGTGACACACAGGGACTCAACAAGGTATGCCCTCCTTCCTCTTCATCTAAACTCACTACCATTCTACTTTGGTTCCCCTCAGACTTCTCACCCAGGCCCTGTCATATTGACTGGGACATTTTTACTACAAGCCAACAGCAAGCCCAAAACCCAGTGATGAAGGGTATCTTAAGGAAATCCTCTTTCTGGAGAGGTCATTTCCCATRGATGGACTGTGCCTGCCAACCTCATGCAGCCCACGAGGAGCACTTACTGTAGTCCATGTCGTCCTCCGGCAGTGAGGCTGCATAGTCAAAGTAGGTGGCATTCCAGCGGAGCTCTCGGGTTTTGGTGTCATACATGGTGATGGTATATTCTGAAGAACACAGACCAGTCCATCATCACAAAGGGATCTAGCACCTAATTAAAGTGTTGACCTTATCTAGTTACAACAAACAAATCCTCCCTAAATTACATGTTAAAAAGACCAGGTTATCCATGTGGAACAAGAAAAGCCATGTGCAGGAGAACTATAGTCCCAGACACACGAGTGAACTACCAGCATGTGTAGCAGAGACAAGTCACCCTTGCTGTGCCCTGTAACTCACAGCTCACAGAATCATAAGAAAGGTAACAGTTGTGTTTATCCACCCAGCTTTTGGGGTGATTTATTATGTAGCAATATTTATATGACATTAGAAATCATTACCTAGAAGGGGAATGATGCCACCAAAAAACCCTAAAACATGTAACTTTGACTTGGGAGAGGTGAAGGCTGGAGGCTAATAAGAGGACTGTTAGTGGAGACTTGAAAAAGTGAAGAAACCATTTCTGTAACCTGAAAAGGGAAGACCCAGCTTATGAGTTTCCATCGATGTGACACAATTAGTGAGACTACTGTTTATAGTAACTTGGAATGCACTCAGGGATCTGGTTGAGATTTCTAGATAAAAGGCAGAAAATGCTGAAATTTTTTCTTAGCCATGTACGCTATACTGCAAGACAATGAGCTAAAGAAATCATTCAGCTTTTAATCAAGAACATAGAGAAAAGAGAGGATCCAAGACTGGCTCTCCAGTTAGAAAAGATGCCCAATGTAAAAAAATGACCTCAATGGCCCGGGGTTGTGGCTCAGTGTTACTTGCCCAGCATGTGTGAGGAACTGGGTTCTCATAAAAAATAAAAACAAATAAAACAAAAGAAAAGAAAAAAAATGACCTCAAGGCAAAGATTAAATCCAAAGCACTCACTAGCTGTAAAAAAAAAGGGCCTCAGGTCAGGGTCAAAATCTAACTCAGAGTGAGTCTACTGAGACCCTTCCTTGAAACTTCAGGAAGATTTAAAGTAGTATCTCTCAGACCCTCTGTAAGGTAAGAAGGGGTATAAGAACCCTAAGAGTGTTGTGGTGCCGTAGCACTCTCACATTCCAAAGTAGGGATTCAAAGGCACAACCGTTATCCAATGGTATAGACTATAACTTGACACATGAGAAACCCACAAAGTTTTTAAAGGAGTAATAAAATATCACCATGGACTATAATGATCAGAGATAGTTAAAATGAAAGAAAACCTCTGGACTCCCTACTTTCAATGAACAAAGGACAGATTGAGAAAGTTAAAAAATAGCCATTTTTATGGAAAAGAAGGATTTCTTGAAAGACAGAACCAAGAGCAACTGAGAACAATATATTAATAAAACCAATCCTGAAGGGCAGAACTAGGCCCTAATCAAGGAAAATTCCCTGTCCCCCAGAGTAAGGGAACCTGAAAACATGTACCTGGCTGGATTTCAGAATTACTAAGGACCAGTATCTGCTATGTGCCTCGGTTTCCTTCCATTTTTGAACGGGAATTGTTACAACAGCTATCCTATCTCAGCATTGATGTTGGGTTGGGGGAAGGGGCAGGTGGGAGAGTAAGAGAACTTTTCTCTTTCCTTCACCTAATGAGAGGAGGCTCCTACTTTGACACAGACCCCATGATGTTGAATCTTCAGAATAATGCTGTGACTAGACTTTGGGGATCTTGGGAAGGGCGAGTAGATTCTGTAAGCAGAAGGGCTGTAAACTACTGTAGCCTGAGGGAAGACTGTAGGGCAATATCTGAAGATCACCACCTACAATTCTTCCCAGGAGTATGCAAGTCACTCTTTCTATTTCTCCACCTTTGGCTCTGGACTGTCTTTGTGACTTCCTTTCACCAACAGAATGCAGTGGAAGTAAGGTTCTAGGACTTCTAAGCTCAGACCTTATAAGGCATTCCAACATCCATGTTTATCAAGTGGGAATCAAGCTGCCATGTTAAGAAGTCCAGGCTATTGTGTGGAGAAAAGTCACATGGAGGTGGACCAAGGTCCCAGACACAGGTGAGCCAGAGATGACTGTCTTCACCCATCCCTTCCTGAATCCTCTACCCAGAAAGTCAGGAATAAAATGGAAACAATAGCTTTACACAGTAATGCATGTGCACCTAATGCCAGAGCATAGCCCAACTCCCTTAAATGTCCCAGTTCTACCTGGAACTCCATGATTTTTACACCTGGGTAAAGCTGAGACCACTGTAAGGTTTTACCTGATGGAAAAGGTAAGCCAACAAATCCCAAGCAGTTACAACAGTTGAAAATTAGAACGCCTGATTTTTATAGGGGGAGGGTTACAAGGCAGCAGCCTATGACCTCCCTCCTAGGACAGGTAAGGCCAGCCAGCTGCTACAGGAACCAAGATCGGTTTCATTGATTTGTAGAAATACACTGTTTTCTGAAGCATCTGAGGAAGGTTCTGTCTCTTTCTTCAAAGCTTAGGTTGCCTGAATGTTTAGACCTAAGTTTAGAGCTCAACTGTACATGAATTCATCCCAGGTTTTTAAATATTTTCATTTAATGACCTGCTTTACCTATTTTTTTTTAAATATTACTGACATATAATAATTGTACATCTTATAAGATCGTAGGTTTTGGGTATAATATTTTTTGCTTCTAGATGTTTTTTTGAGTCTTCTTTTAGTTTTAACTTTTGTTCAATAATTTTCATGGTGATCCTGATGCATGTGAGGTATTGTACATATGAAAATGAGTAAGACGTTGCTCACTCTTTCACTTGTTTAAATATCTGAGCACCTACTGTGCATCAGGGAGTATGTCTAGTGTGGAGATAGAGCCAAAATAAAGTCTTACCCTAGGAGAACTGATATTCTAGTGAGTGGGGCAGAAGACAAGCACATAAAACTTATAAATATATAATAACAAGCATTAAGAAGGTGACGGGAAAAAAGGAAACAGAAAATGGTGTGGTGAAGTGGGTGCTATTTATGAATGTAAAGGGACAATGACAGGGGTGTGATGGCTGCTATGACAGGCCTGTCAATTGCTACATGTGTCCCCAGAATGAGAGAGCTGAGTCGAGTGTCCCTGGGCAGGGTGGGAGCTTTGAGGCAGGGGAAAAGACTTCACAGAGAAGGGAACTCTTGAGCAGCTGTGGAGGAAGAGAGGACATCTACCATACAGGCAGCACCAGGCATGCCTGGCAGAAGGGATACCCCATTCTGAGTCGTAAAGAATAGCACTGCTATTTTGAGAACTGCAGGTAGTTCACCCCAATTGGAAAATGTTCTAATGAGGGAAATGCAGCAGTGAGGGCTGAGAAGTGACAGCTGAACAGAGGGGCTATGTGGGTCATGGTGCAGCTTAGACTGCATCCTTTAGGCAATGGAGGCCACTGCAGGGTCTTAGAAAGAGAAGCTAAGGTTGTTCGGAGAAGGCAGCCCTGACCACCTTCTGGAGAACCAGGTCAGGAACAGAGGCAGGTAGGGGAGCTTTATCAGATTCTTTCTAGAAACAGGTCGATTGTACAAAATGGAGGTTCATTTCTTACCTGTCCGTCCAAGATACAAAAGAGAGGTTGATGGGCAGAGACTATCTGCAAAGGCCGATGACAAAGTCTGCTGCTTCTCACCAGTCAAGAGGTCGATGACATACCAAATGTCCTGCTTTTTACCTAAAGGTCACAGGATACTCTGTCATTTACACTTATTCTATACAGAAAAAATTATCACTGCTTAAGTAGTTGTTTTAGATATTCTACTCTATGAATGAAATTCTTATAATGTTGAAGACATTTCTATGATATTTTGAAGGTGATAAAGTAAATGGTAATGTGGAGATAACTTCTTAGGCTACTGGGTCTTACAATCACTTAACAATCTGATCATCGGCATAAAAATTTCTCCAAATCCAATAACTAAGTTATAGTAAAAAAAAAGTTCTCCTAACTTTCAAGTTAGATTTTATTGCTTGATTAATGGCCTTTAATGAAAACTCTGGCCTGTAAAGAACAATCCTTTTCCCGCAGACAAGGTGCCAAATACTAAAGAAATGTACTCAGGTGTTCATCTCCTTGATAACCATAATTCATATTTCTTAACATCCCTACTAATTAAGCCACATGTGAAGAGGATCTATAGTTACTGTTTCTAACTATAATTAGCTAGTACCTGTGACTGGTCAGTAGTGCTAGTTGTAACCTGATGCTAATGAGGCCAAAGTTACCTCAGCTTCCCCCTGGGTCAGTAAGTTATTCCCAGGCCATAGGTCATACCCCTCGCCTTGGTCAGCTGATTAAAAGATATGAACAGGTGAACAGCACAGCCAAACACCAGTATGAGGGAAACCCAAGGCATTCGTATCTGTGCTATTCACACCAGGGCATCCTAGGAATGGTGAGGCAGTGCATGGGCCTCTGGTTTGAAGGTCAACATATTCACAGAAGCTATGACCTCAAAAGTATTCTACGTCCAAGCACTTTTGGAAGCAGAACAATGAGATCTAGGAAGGTTACAGGGCATTGAATTTGCTAGAGCTACACTCAGTTCTAACATGTGGCATACATGCTGATCCCACACGTATGCAACTTGTCCACACATTGTGAACTCTCTATTCTCAGTAGGATGTTAATATGAAAAAGACTGAAGGTAGAATGAGAATGTCACCAATCAGCTGTGACCATGAATCCTTTCCATCTGGCATGGCATATATCAAGGACAACTGCAGTCTGCATAACCCAGCTACTACCTTAATGGACAGACTGGGGAACTACCATGTTCTTAAATATACTTAATAAACTCACTTAATATGGCATCACACAAAGATAATGGAAACACAATGTCCTAAGTAGACCACAAATGACACATTGCTGGGAAAGGCTGGAAGACCAGATGGGAAACGGTGACACAGATGGTCAGAAGATGGTTGGATGGGCCTGGCATGGCCCAGAGAAAAAAGCCTGTTGGTCATTTCTTCTGAATCCATACGCTGGGGATTCCTCATTTTGAAGGAAGGAAGCAAGAGCCCCAGTGTGGCCAGCAAAAACTTAAAAGCTGGCCTGCACTGAGACCCAGAAAACCATATAAAGCTCCYGAGGCAGGAACAGGCAATAAGCACTTTCAGTTCCTCAAAAAGAAAGCTGCTATATAAACACAGGCTATTATTACTGCTATGATTTCAAGATAAATACAGCTCTCCTTTGTATTACAAATGCATTTTTATTGACATTTTGGCAGCAAAATGGTACAGAAAAGCAGGTGAGCTGATGCTTTAAAAGCTGTGACCCCAGAGGTATAAAGGCAGCTTATCTAGGCAAGCTGCTAAGTGCTGTTTCTACCAAATATTCTGATAGCAGGAAATACGAAGAAAACCCTATAATTAATAGGCAGGGCCTAGCTTTCCTTCATTGGCTCAGACAATTGTATTCACTTTAAATTTCACACAGTTGCAGCTGGGATGTTGTAATTTTGAAATCACAGGAATAGGCCAGACCGGCAACTAAAAGCTTGTTAAATGAGTAACCATATTTACGGTGTCAGTTTTTCTTCTGGGTGAAAGGAACCCTTTCTTAACTGGTCAGCCGATCCTGGCATGAACAGCACTTGCAGTATGACCAAGGCAAGAAAGACCTTTCCCAGAAGGATTGGCAAGTGGGTGACGACAGCAGCCCTCTCTCTCAACTGCCATTTGCCTAGATTCCAGGACTCTCTGTCAAAGTGATCCAAGTTTCAGTGTTGAGAACAGGAACTTACCCATGTAGAGGATTCCATCTGAACTTCGGCATGGGGATGCCTGTACCAACTCTGGGATGGTAAAGGGAAGTTTCTTTAAAAAAAAAAAAAAAAAAGTAAAGAAAACTTAAAAAGGAAAAAATAAGTTAACCGAGTCTTATGCAATTATTACAAATTTACTGGGCAGTCTGTTTCTGTTACCCAGTTCTGCTAAAGAAAAGAACACTTAACAGATGGGAGTTTTCCTAAYAGGAACCCAAGAAGAGGGGGGTGGGCGTGTTTCCATCCACTACTGAAAGGCCTTGGCCTCTGAACTCTGTAAATACTAACTCCTTTACTTGACACAGGAGGCCAGGCTTTCTGTCCAGGCACTTACCAGGTGTGACATAAGCCTTTTCTGAGAAGAGAACACAAATATGGAGAATTACACTATCTTGGTAGCTCTAAGGGTAGTGGAAAGGATTCTCCCATCTTGGAAAAGTGACCCAGAGCTGGCTAGACTAGGTAGAAGGATGATGATGCCTTTTAGAGGTGGGAGGAGGTCATGATTTTAATGCTAAAGAGAAACAACCTTGCAACCAAGCTTCAAGCTTGGAGGGAAAAAAGGCACCATTACATGGGCAACACAAGAGTTGGAGGTGGAAAAAGAAGTTTGGTATTTCCTTCAGTAAATCATTCTCTACTGAAAAACAAGAAAATTGAGCTTTCTGGTTGAAAAAGGAAGTTATGGTAGGTGCCAGGAAAAGAAACCAAAAGAAATCCAAATGTTTCAACATGTTTCATCATAAAACTGACTCTTCTGCGTCTACAGCTGACATCTGACAAGTCCTTTTGTCTATGCTCGTTTCAGTACACTTTATTTTTGGAATACTCTTGTGTTTCTGAAACCATTCTACAGATACTGCTGTTACAGAAACTCCAGGCTACAATGCTGCTACTTTTTCTCCAAGAGAAGATTTCTCTGTAGCATTGATAAACAGAACTATAAACTGAATCAATAATTTGGATTTTCCTGCCATTTCAACATTCAAACTAAGCCTTAGAAAAGGCAAAATGCCATTCGGAGGCAGTAATGCCTGGGTTTTTGCCAGATGTTTCTGATAATCAGAAAGTGGTTGCCAGTCCTCTGGTTTGGAGTCCTGGGCCCTGAACTGAGCACTGCCACAGCCCTCCTACTTTGAGGCCCAGGCTGGGAAACCTATGATCTCTGGAATTACTAAGCCACAATACATAGGAAGGCACGGTGGTGTTAAGGGCATCCTCTTCAATTAGACTTCTTTACATCCCAACTCCAGTCCTAAAAGCTTCAGACTTATTCCCTAACTTCTCTGGGCTCAGTTTCTAAAATGGGGAAAACATCTATGGGCTGCTGAGAGGCTCAATATTTTCTGACAAACAAGGTGCTTAAGAAATGCTGCCAGGTGGTGGGGCTTGGCGGCGCACACCTGTAATCCCAGTGGCTCAGGAGGGATTGGCAGTTCAAAGCCAACCTCAGCAACAATGAGGCACTAAGCAACTCAGTGAGACCCTGTCTCTAAATAAAATACAAAATAGGGCTGAGGATGTGCCAAGATATTTTTATTTTATTTTATTTTTTTACATTTTGAGATAGGTCTCACTAAGTTGCGAGGGTGCCTTCAAATCTGCAATATCCCTGCTTCAACCTCTTAGTCACTGGAATTACAGGTATGCACCACAATGCCTGGCTCAAAAACTAATTTTAAAATACCCAAATTAGTACCCATAATCCACTTACAGTTTAGACCAATGGTTCTCATCATTGGCTATGTATTAGAATCTCATAAACTTAGAATCTCTCAAACTTTCTATGAATCACATGATACACAAACAGAAAAACACAATCACACACCTCAGTAATTATTAATCACACCTCAGTGAATATTCTCATGGTATTAGCACATGATGAAGAAAACATTTCTAGCACTCCTGAAGATCCCTCCTGTGCCCCTTTTTAGCCATTAACTCTTGGGGCAACTATTATCCTCACTTCAAAACAACACAGAGTAGGTTTTCCTGCTTTTGAACTTTATATAAATGAATCATTTGGAATGTAGCTTTTTGGTGATGTTTTGGCTCCACATTGCATTTGTGAGATAGATCCATGTTGTGTAAGGTCACACACTCTTAATTCTCACTGTCACAGAGTTCACTGCATGACTGTCTCTGTACTTATTTATTAAACATTTATTTTGTACTTTTGACTAACTCGGATYCTTGTTGTAACAATTCTGCAAACATTGCCTTCAACTCTTTTTTATCCTCTCCCTGTGGTAGTGGGGATCAAATCCAGTGGCACACCCCATTTTCTTTTTTTGTTTTGAGACAGGGTCTTGCTAAGTTTTTGAGGCTGGCCTCAAACTTACAACCTTTCCGCCTCAGTCTCCTAAATCCCTGGGATTAAAGGTATGTGCTACCACCCCCAGCTTCCCGTTATTTACCCCTTTCTACCGTTGATGTTATTTGGCTAGTTTCCACTTTTTGTTTATTATAAATACTGTTGCTCTACATTTGGGTGGTGTCTGATGTGGTATACTTTCATGCATTTCTGTTGAGTTTATATTGGGTGATGGTTACCAGGTTTTATGGACTCTATGCTGCCAAACAGTTTCCCAAACCAGTTGTGCCACCTTTTATCTCCACCAGCAGAGGATGCAGTTCTGGTTGCTCTACATCCCACCATACGTTTCCCTTTTTTTTTTTTTTTTAATGTTCCCATTTAATCATGCTGGTGAACAGCTGTATGCATACTGAGTAACAGCACAGCCCTGTGATTTTAATTTGAATTTCCCTAAKGACTAATAAAATTGAACACCTTTTCATATATTTATTCATCACTTAAATGTCCTCTTTTCCATTTCTGTTGGGTCATCTGTCTTTTTCTAACAGTCCACAGGAGCTCCTTAAATATTCTGAATTTGAATCCTTAAACAGTTAAATAGAACATAAATACTTTGTTGTTTCCTTTCTTCAGGGTAAAAAGTTCTTAATTTAATCATTTTTTGCCTAGATTTATGGTTAATTTTTTTTATATTCTATTCTGTCTACTCTAAAGTCATGATGACGTTTCACTACTCTTTCCTTAAAGCTTTATTATTTATTTATTTTGCATTTAGGTCTTAAATCTGTCTGGAACTGATTTTCAAGTGGACAGTGTGGGGTAGGAGTCAAGCTATTTTTTTTTCTTTATGGATATCCCAGTTGACTTATACCATTCACTGAAAAGAGCCTCCTTACCCACCATACTGTGGTACCACCTTTGTATAAATCAGGTATCCATGTATGTGGGTCTGTTTCTATTACTGGGAAGTTTTGTTTTGTTTTGTTTTAATCCTTATGTCTTAGATCAATGAAATTGGGACTTTCCTGGACTGAGATCTAGGCTCAGACATTTTTCAGAGTTTCCCTAGGTTATTATGATGTGAAGCAAAGGGTGACAAACACAGATCTAGACTCTCAAACGGAGACAGGGTGAATACTACAGGTCTCCCTGAAGGATGGGACGGTGGTGGAGACAGTGTTTCAAACTATACCCCCTCCTCCCAAGTTGAAAGTCTCTGATTGGAGCCAATCTTGWCACTGCAGAGACCCTTCTATCCTTCCAGTGTGTTGGCTGGGCCACCAGCATCTGCTGCTCTGGGTCTGTTTCTGAACTCTGGACGCTCATTAAAAACTCACTTAGGAAGCTGTGAAAAGATACTGGTGCCGAAGCCCCACTCCAGACTGCCTGAATCAAATCCTCAGAAGTCTGTTTCAAACTCCCAGACCTTGGCATGCAGACACAGTTAAGGACACAGTTAAGAACCCTCCAGGGTACACAAAGAAGCTAAATATCCTCACCGTTAGGCCTTCATTATTCTTGCCCCCAAGTGTATACAGGCTGCCATCATTGGGATCTGGGAGGAAAGCAGGCCTAGAGATGAAATAAAAAGTATTAGTGATGAAGTATAGCCCAGGGCACACAACTAAATATCAAGGCCATGCAAAGTCACCATGCAGCAGGAGTGGGTGTGATGTGAGTGAGTAGAAGACAACTCCACCTATTGCTCGCTCATGTCAGCCACAAATAAATAAAACACCCTATGGTATAAGTGGAGAAAAACAACCTACAAAGGAAGGATCATTAGAAACCGTAGAAGATAAGTTGTCATTTGGTCAAAGCACTCTGGATGAGGGTAGGGTAAGTGAAAAGGACCTAGCACGCCTACTTTCCAATCGCCTCCTCAACTGCGCACAGAACATCAACAATTAATATTTAATAGTATGTCATGGTATATAAACAAGTAGAACAAATCTAACTTTAGTTTTGAACAAATGTTTATTTTTCAAATGGAGGCAATAAAAGCAGACTCAGAAAACCTGACGTCAGAGAACTCGACAGGGAGATGGACTGGGATCTCTGTCAGCAGCTTCCCACTAAACCAAGGGGAGGTGGTCCTCCATACAGTTAATCTGCTAAAGACTGAACTATGAGAGTCACCCAAAAATCCCAGGCTGAGTCCCTGTGCAATTTAGGACATGCCATCATCTGTACAGGGGATATCTGGATTTCCCTGTAATACATATACTCTAGAAGTAGGTCAGTCTTCTCCTCTGTATGACTTTGAAGAGGGAGAGATCCAAAATTTCTTTTTTCTTGCAGTATTGAGGTTGACCCCAGTGGTACTCTATCACTGAGCTACACTCCCCTGCCCTTTTTATTTTTTGTTTTGAGATGGGGTCTGGCAAAGTTGTCCAGGCTGGCCTCAAACTTACAGTCCTCCTGCCTTAGCCTCCTGAGTAGCTGGGATTATAGGAGTGTATCACCACACCCAGCAAGAGATACAGACTTTGGAAGTTTAAATTCAAATCTCAACTTAAGGTTCATYTCAGATAAACTCTTTTAACACATTGTCCTCTTCTCCCCAAGGATCACAGCACCCTCTCCCCATCATATCATCTGTAGCATTCTATATACCTCACTAATTCTTCTTATACCTTAAACTTGTGCCTGTATGTACTCCCAGCAATTAGCCTGGTAAATGTTGATTGAATGAATAAGATAATGAATTAAAGGGAAATATAGAGCAAATCAGAAAACTTACTCTTCAACGTGCGTCGGGACCTGCAGGACTGGGTCTGTGCAAAAGAACAACAAARGCATCATCAGACTGGAAAATGTCAAGAATTCCAGAGATTTCCCAGGACCAAGTGACAAGTTGTACTGATAATAGAGGTTGATATACGTGAGATAACATCTTCGAGGGCACTTTAGAAATCCTACACACAAAGACACCAACATAAGCTCTTAGGATGGTCCCTGAGACTGGATTGAGAACTGAGCCCAGAATGGAACGGCTGTTAAGAAACCTGAGTGTCACTCGTGGGGTAGATATAGAAGAAAGAACTAGTCATTATCCTCAGTAGACAGGAGTGACAACATCTCTATCTGGCACATTGAGAACTTCTAAAATCCAAATCATTACCTTGTCAGAAACCTGGAATAGTATAACTAATTAGAGCAAATTTTAAAACTATATGTTAAAAAGAAAAGAAACCTGGAATAGCACTAGAAATTCCCATTATGAAATGCCAAACTGTGGGTAAAGAACTGATGCTGACTGATGGTAGACGTACACAAACTTTGAAGCAGCCTGTGGCAATCCTGGATCTTTTAAGCATTGATTCCTTTGGGTCCTTTGGCTTCATTTCCTTAAAATCCAATTTTAAAAATATAAAATATAGAAAATGTTTTTTTTTTACAAAGGTGCTCACAATAGTATTACAAATATCTAACTATTCAATAATATGTTTAAATTATGGAATGTCCACTTAGTGGAAAATTAAGGCTTTTAAAGGTGCTAATAAGAGTTTTAAACATGTATGAATCTTTATTCAGTTATGACACTGCATGTAGAGTATTAATGCAAGTATGGGGAAAATTTTCAAGGCACAAAGAAAAACTAGATGGAAAGACCAAAATGCAAATTGAAAGTTATCTCTGTGGGAGTATAACCAACCTTTTCTATATTTCTCAAATTTTCTACAAGTGCAAGCATTACTTTTTAAGTTGCGAAAAGGGTTTTGTTTTTCCTCTAAATCAATTTCATATTTACAACAGTTAAAAATGGAAATGTCTCCCTAGATTCTCCTGGCACACATCAAGAGGTGGTTCCTGACTGTCTGGAATGGATGGCGGTAGAGGTGAGAGGGCATGAGCTTGAACACATCTGAAATCCTCAGGCAAGAGACTGGAGGAGTTATTGCCAACATTCAAAACCCTATGGCTACAGCTGTGCCGTACACAACTTCAGAGAACATTCTAATAGGATTTTGTATGTAGATTCCCAGACCCAGGAGGCTCTGCTTTATGGTCTCAGACAGCTGTCTAATCCCCCTTGCCAATTGGGATTCTCGATGACGGAAGCTTTATCAAGCTTCATCACATGTTGACTTTGCTTTAAAAGCCCAGCTCCTACACAAAGACATACGGTGCTCACTACAACAGAAGTACATTCACCAGATGTGGTCTGTGGGCAGCAAACAAACAATTCACTAAACCAAAAACACTTTAGGAAACAGGATGAACTTTCAGTCAGTAAGCATATGTTTATCTTTCCCATTAATCACCTCTCGGTACACTCTCACAAACAGACTGATGCAAGAGACAGGAAATAAAGGTGCACGGCACTCACTGACTGAAACAAACTAGTCAAGGTGCAATTAGGACCCAGGTACTTCAATGTGGCCCTGAAGTTTTGCAAGCCAGGAAAAGCAAGACTGTCTGTCATATTCCAAAGAAAGCTGGCGGTTAAAAAAGGCATCTTTTATGTTCATTTCAGTCATTTAATGCTATCACAGATAAACAAAGATTAAAAGGACACTGTCAACATCTAGCAATCACCAGAAACAAAACATGGAGAGTGACATGAYGGGAATACTTGCTTATAAGTTGATCTTTGTGTACAATGTTTGCTTAGTCTTATCCACTTGTCTTTAGATACTGATTTTCCTGGTTTTCTCTAGCTTCCCCATGGGTCACTTGATCCTGAGGCCTCAGGCCCTAAGATGTGCCCCATACTGTAAGACACAGGACACCAGTGGAAACAAGGAAGGATTCCCACATTGGGATGTCAGAACCATGCTTGTTTCTAGTCCAGGAGGAGATAAAGTCCAGAAGGAGGAGCTTAAGGTCACCTTAGCATTCCCCATCTGCTTAGTGAAAATGGGTACCCAGATAATAAGCTCTGTAAATGTGTGGACCTGGTAAAAACCAACAACTAAGGCCGCTCTGACAGAGGCCAGCAAGCTGAGGTGTGGCTTCAGAGGTACAACAAAGAATCTTCTATAGATAATTTTCTTCTTAAAGAATCATTTGGATCCAAGATTTGCTTGAAAATATTATAAAAAAATAAATATATGTGGGGACAGATAAAAAGTGGCAGACTGGTGATAACTGTTAAAGATGGAACATGGAACTTTGGGGAGGCATTTTACTATTCTCTGTACATATGCTCAGAATTTTTCCATCTAAAAATGGTTAAAGACACTTTGGGAAGCCAGCAAAATAAAAACAAAATGCATTATCTGAAAGTGTACAATGAAAAATCAACAGGAAAATATGGTGGTTTTGACCTGTTAATGAGAACTGGTATCAGGCAAGATTCTTGCTTTAAGATTTCAACCATGGGAAAAGACACACTGAGCAAACTGTAAGGCTGTACACAAATACCACTGCAAAATAAGCCACTCTATCTATATGGAGCCTGATAAGGGTCAATGCCAACCTCAACAAGTTGTTTTACTTTCAGGAAAAAGAAGGGGGGAGGGGTTTCCTTCACAAGTGTAAAAATGAGTGTTATTCAAGTTAAAAATGAGGTTACAGGGAAAACTGTTGCAATCAACGTTTGGTCTCTGGATCAACTCAGGAGAGCAGCCCGCTCACTGCTGCCCTGGGAGGAGCAGCCGCTGGACCCGACAGTGCTTCCCTAGTGTGGCCTTTCCACACACAGGAACCAGCGTCCTGGCTGCTACTGGGTTGTGCTAATCTAACCATCCTTGCTAATTTGAGGCTGAAATGACAAAATAGATGTTTATATCATTCCTTTGTCCAAATTCCTAAACACTTCTATCTCCATAAGAAGTTTTGTTCCTATTTCCTGCTTTAAATCTGGAAGGGCATTTCCATGTTCTCACCCCTGCCTCTCTTTTCTCTCTCAGGAAGCATATCCACTTCTCTAATCTTAAGAGGTGGATTCTAGGTCCCCACCATGAGTTCTTCCCTCTAGATCAATTAACTAGACATTTCACTATTTCCTACCAGCACCTCAACCTCCACCATCCAGGTCACTCCCCACAGAATGGCTTCTGCTCTTGATTACCTTATTGAATTAAGGGATCAACCATTCACCTAGAGGATAGCCAAGACTCAAATACACTGCTGACACCTATTTCTCCCCAACACATGCCACTGACTGCCAAACCCTGTAGTCTATTTCTACAAGGACTGTCACCCTGCTTCCTACTTCCAGTGTCCCTTGAATATCACAGAACCCCTTGTGTTCCAAGTCCTCCCTTTTCTCCTCATCTGTGGTCTTAGGAATCAGACAAATGTAGGCTTAAATCATAGCTCTGCTACTGACCATCTGAGTGACTTTGGCAAAGCTTAATCTCTCTTAACCTCAATTTCCTCATCGTAAAGGGGGGAAAAAAACAGATGACACCAACTTCATGTGGCATCTCTGTGGATTAGATGAGGATTAAATATTTGTTAAGAATTTCAGTCAGTGCCTTGACACAGAAAAGAGTGACCCTTTTAAAAACAAATCAGATTATGCTTCTGGTTATTCAAAATCCTTTGTTAGCTCCTGATCTCGCTCAGTCAAGTCACACAGTAGCCCATAAATCCCATGCAATCCTCCTCTCACCTTTTACCATCCTCCTATTGCCTCCAGCCATGTGGGCCTCTTTGCATTCCTTGAATTCTGCCAGCATGCCCCCGTTTCAGTGCCTTTGCATTGGCTGTTCCTGTCTGCCTAGGTCTTTGACCAAATGTCATTATCTCACAGAGGTCTTCCACGACCACTGCTTATTCCCCTGGGATATCCCATCCCTCTTCTCTGCTTAATATTTTTCCATGACACTCAGCACCTCTGAAGATCTTTACATTTTGTTGCCAACTTGTTTAATGTCCAACTCTATCACTGCAAGCTCCTAGAGAGCTGGTTTATCTCCTGTTGTCTGCTGTTCTTAGCATCTAAAACAGTGCCTAGCACACAGAAGATGTTTAATGCACTGCTGAATGGAGCAACTGTTAGTTTCCTTTCTCCTTCCTGTTTAGCCTCATATCCATCTTTGATCACTTCTAATCATCCAGCAGACATACAATCAACCCTCCACCCAGGACCTACATAGAAAGCCTCTTTCCTCCATCCAGGTTCTGAGCACTGTTGAAGAAAATACTGCAATCATATGTGGGGATACCTCATACACATATGGCCAGTTGGGTCTCAGGCCATTAGCTCTATCTATCTAATTTCTGGTTGACCTCGGTTCCCATCCCTCCTAGCTGCTATTTCAAACCCTGCCTCCCCACAGAATGGCTTCTGCTCTTGATTACCTTATTGAGTTAAGGAATCAACCATTCACCTCAAGGCCCTTTCTTACCACAGATGAATCTGCCTTCGGTGCCACAGGGGGACTGCATGAGCTTACTGAGACTGCCAACCCTTTACCTTCTCAGTTTGCCCGCTCCACCCTTCCCTTCCAGTCTTTGGTAAAGGGACAGGCTTTAACCCTCAAGCCCAGATACTCACACTTCCATCTGGGCCCCAAGCAGTCCTCTGTCTGTAATCTCCAGCTCCTCCTTTCTGCTGGCTACCTCACTGCCCCTTCTGCCTATAAAACCTCTAATTCCCCCTCTCCTCTGTACATGATTCCCTTTCTTTCCTAAATGCATCCATTTTAAGTACACGGGTTGAATAATCTTGAAAGCATATCCACTCCTGTCACTGTCATCACTGTCAAGATACAGAAGGTTTCCAACACCCCAAACATTTTCTCATACCCTTTTGGTTTCAATACTTCAATCCTTACCCCAGACAACCAATGATAGATTCTTTTTGCTTGTTCTATCTGCA